AGCCCTAAGGTCAGAAGAAGAAAATTTTATATAATGACTATAAGCTGGAACTCCAAGATGTGAGACTTATACTTGCCAAAATGACAAGAATGCCTCAAAAAAGAAGATAAAGTGGAGGTTCAGCTACAAAGCTAGAAACACTCCAAACAAAAGGACTTATACCTCATTTCGGGCATGGAGCCTTCTAACATTCAAAGCGCACTAGATTACCTATATGAAGGTATGCTGAGCCAGTCAGGTTGGAGAAGTACATGGACTCCTCCTCGAGACAGAAAAATATGAATGTTGTTATCTAGAGCGGTCCTAAGTATTGTGGATGCCCTATTAATATATGCAGGAAAGTAAATGTTGTAATTTTTAAATCCTAAATATTTTAATCTTAAATTTTAATAATCTTGAATATTTTATTTAAGATTTTTAAGTAAAAAAAATTAGGATTTTAAGTCCTAAAGAGTCTATGTTCCATCATAAAATCTCAAAAAAATCACAGAAAGAAACAAAGAAAACACATGCAAATGTGTAGACATGCAATATGATGCAAAAAAAGTAAAACAAGCTAAATCAAAATAATAAACAAGCCGGTGCCGCTGGGTCGGCAATATATCCTAGAAAAGAAAATGACGACTAGACTCTGCATATACATGTCCGGTCCTAATTTTATACATCAATATAAAATGCAGAATTAAGATACGGGGCACGGGCATCTGCTCTTGGTCCCCTACACATGGTTCCTGTGCCAAAACCTTGGAACCCGGACCCATATCTTATTTCTGCTACATGACTCTCATAGACTCTAAAAAGTACATAGGAAAAGAAAAAGACTCAATCCTACATGAAAACAAGTGTCAGCGGGAAAACTCATATGCAAATAACGTATCATGAGTCATGCCTTAAAAGTGGGGGAGCTAATAACACCTACAAGCAACAGGGTCAAGCAAAAGGGTCAGAAAACATTATTTGCTCCCTCCAGAGCGGTACCTGTGTGTGTGCATATAAATAAGCATGCTTCCCTGCAAAAAAAACATCCAAACACACTACCACACATATGCAGCATGCAATCACACCACAAGTATAATGCAAAAGAAAGATACTTAGCTAGGGCAACCAATCCAACAGAGAACAATAGCTTAACATCAAAAAGACTACCTAGCACCCTAAATCCTAGCCTAGCACACCATCTAACGATAAGTGCGTCGACCTGGTATCTAAGTACGGGGTAAGTCTAGGTATAGTATGACTTTGACAGGGGCGGTGTTCTGGCCCCATCGTATACTGGCCCCATCCTAAAGATCCGAAAGATCTAAAAGGTGTCACAAAGAGTGGTGACATAGGTTAGATCTTTTAGATCATTAGCACAGTCAGACTCGTGTCAAACCAGATGACTTAGCTCGCATAACTTAACTCGTACTGCTCACCGGGATCAACCTAGTAAGTAATGTTCGTTAAGGTATCGCGAACAAAATAGGGTCACTCTCGTAACGAGCCTAGCTCGCTATCCATGCAAACATGCAAATGCAAATAAAAGTAAATCAAGACATAAAGGTAGTGATAAAGAGTATGTCGTGAAGGCGGTGACTCGTAAGAATGGACATGTCGTGACGACAGGGGCCCGAAAAGAGGATATGCCGATAAAACAGTGGCCCGAAGGCGGGCATGCCATGACAACAACAGCTTGAAAAGAGAATATGCCGATAAGGCAGTGACCTGAAGGAATGAGCATGCCGTGACGACAGGAGGGTGAAAAGAGGATATACCAGTAAGGCAGTGACCCGAAAGTGGGAATGTCATGACGACAACAACCTGAAAAGAAGTTATGCCGGTAAGACAGTGACCCGAAGGTGGAAACCTAGGGTTGACACGCTTGGATTTGCAGCATCTCTGTCTCCAGGTTTGGTGAGGAAATGTGGGGAGTTTCTCCCTGGATCTCCGAGGGGGAAACTCTCCATGGCGTCACGAAATGGGCTAGCTGCAAAGCTTTTCCCATTTCGTGAACTTCTCCAGACTTTGCAAAGCGAGACAGCTACAAAGCTTCTCTCTTTTTGCTAAGTCCGACCTCCCAGCTTCTCAAAGTAAAGCTGAGGAACCCAAAACAATGGGAGTAAGGGACTCCGACCCATCAGAAATTGTGCTAAGGCTCACAACAAAGAGGAGACACTCGGCTCTATGGAGGGTGTTTGGACACGCACAAGAAGTCCTAACCTAAATGCTAGCTCTAGAAAAACCAACAATCCATCACGCAGACACGTCGTTGAGCCGACCCACGCAGACGCACGCACCCCGTGTGGGTGATCGAACCCAAACGTCTAGACACCACTAAACCTAGGGCTAGTTAGGAGTTTATGGGATCTCACCACCGTGAAGGTTGCTGACGTGTTCTCTTTGCTTCAACCTATTGTGACTACCTCTTCTCACCTTTTTCCATTTTCACATGCAAGGACGTGGAAGGAAGGCTCACTAGCAAGATGAAGTGGCCGATAGTTTGCCGGAGAGGCTTCGCCGACAGAGACTTCGTCAGTCAGGACGTGAGCAAAAGAGGGGCGAACGGCGGAACTAGGGCACACCGAGAAGTTTGACCTCTTGACTAAGGCACGCGAAGAAGAGAACCTAGAGTTGGCCTCGACTCTGAGGAGAAGAGGTGGTAGGGGCACACACTGCCAAGGAGCGTTGACGACGAGCTTCGAGCGAGAGGGAGCTTCAGGAAAGAGCTCATTGGCTCTTTAGGCTAGGGAAGACTCGTGAGAAACCTTGGGATGACCTCGACTTGGAGGAGAATGCCGACGTGGAGCGTTCGTAGGCGAGGAGTGCCGACCGACGAGGAGCTTCACGTGAGAAAACCTTCTGGCGGCGGGTTTGCGAGCGAACGGGACGACGAGTTTCCTAGCATGGGACGGCGATCAAAATGTTGGGGGACTTCTCTAAGGGATTTCTCTAAGGGGCGTGCGTGAGTTAGGTTTAGAAATAGGGATTTTAAATTTCTTTTTTTTAATAATAATAATGTTAACTATTATTTAAAATTCTCGATTTGTACATCTGTCGCGCCTGCATGGAACCCTAGCAATATGAGTGTCATTCATGGGTAAAATCAATATTCTGGACTCGTTGGTGCAGTACGTTTCGTCATCTGGGGTTATTCGGACAACTTCGTTAATGATCGGGCCAATTCAAATCAATTTCGCGCGCGACACAACGAATAACATTCGTTGACCCGATCAGAGTCGTTCGACGAGCAGAACGATCGATCGAACTTCGCCTAAGTGAAAATCAAAGTCTAGCAAAACAACCCCGACTATGTGCCCCTCAACACGTGCCAAAAAAGTCCCAGTTTGGTGTCTGAATTATCGAACGTTATGGGCAGACGGTAAACTATCCTGAGTCATGCAGGTGGACACTCTACACTCGTGATATCCAAAAATGAATGCCAACAGTGTGTCTACATGTTTCTCTGTCTATGTGTCTGTTGTCTGTGTGTGTGCTCATTTGCTCGTCCACCTATTTTTTTTTATGCTCGTTTTAGGTCATTTTGACAGGTGTTAATGCTAATGTTTTGGTTTCTCTTTAAATGCTAAACTCAACTTATGGACTTTTGTCAGGTGCAATAACATTTAAAGTGAAATAGTTATAAAGGTCAATATTATACGTTTAGTACGTTATTAATCAAACGTATAACTTTATACTTACTGAGCCTTAGATACATTATCAACAGTCTGTTATGCTTTATACTTTGAAATATACTCACTGAAATTACTATTACCGTGGCATCTCTAATAAACTTTAACATCTAACAAAGTTTAAATATGATCTCGACTTTATTAAAATATGCTTTGACTTTTGATCAAATCTTATTAATTTCTTTGCAAATTAGTATTCTTCCTAAGAAACTTTAAATAAATTACAATCACAAAAACAAATGGCAGACATAATTCTCTACTTTCTACTATTATGCACTATATAAGGTCAGAGTTTTCTTTTAAAATTAAGCTTTTTCAAAATTAATCATGTAATATGAAAATTAAAATCATACAAATCTATTCAATTTAATATCTAATCAAATTTGTATATCATATTCTTTATACAATATAGTATAAGAAATAAAGATACTTAAATAATTTTCAGAAAAGCTTTAAGGAGACGGATTCATTTTGAGTCACAACAAAAGGTTTGTCGTCTTGAAATAACTTTAATTAAAATTTGCTATGAGCCTGACACGCATGATAATATTTACTATGAACACCTCTGAGAGCATCAAACATTAATTCTCTACCAGTTAAACCTCGTTGACTAGCAGTGCTCTGAAATCAATAGCTACATTTTACCGAAAGGATTATTAGCATTAGATTGGTTAGCAAATAGAAAACCAATCTGCTAAGACGAATGATCATCGTTAATGTTTAGGTTTTGCTTTGCTTTGCCGTGCAATGACAGAGAAGTCATTCCTATTTTACGTCTCCATATAAGGGTGCAAAGGAGCCTAATCATCTCGTCATTCCCATTAAAGTTGAATGTGAGTTTGAGTTTGAGCTTGAGCTCAAAACACATGCATGCCAGTTGCACGAGCAAGCTCATGTATTATATTTAAATTTAACCCGATGATAGGAGCATGTACATAAATACCACCGAATTCATATGTATTTACATATCTAACACTAAGAACTTTATTTTTTTATATTTATATTACTCAAATCTTTCATTTCACATAAAAAAATACCATCATTTTAACTTTTAAAAACGTGAAATAGACAATTCATGCATAAGACAAGATGACATGCAAAGATCGATTTTAGGTGTTAGATATGTAAATGCATGGGATTAACAAGTTGAGTCAAAGTTGCCTACAGTATGACTAGTTAAGTCATCAAACTTGACTCTTGAGCCATGGATTGAGTTAAGCCTAAAAAAACTCACGAGCTGACTCGGCTCACCCCCTAACTCACCAAATTATACTGAAGCAGGCCGACAGATAAATACATAGAACTGAGTTGAGCAAATGCAAAATAGCAGGCTGCTGGGAAGGAGCAATTCTTGAAATAGGATTTTAAAGTACCAACAATCACAGGGGATGCAAGCATCCATAACTGTACAGCCTTATTTATAATGAACAGTAATCAATATTTACATGGCGTTACCATATAATGATCACAATCTTATAATGGGAAATATGACACCAGAGAGAGCCTGGTTACCTGTACAAACTCAAGAGCGCACCTCCGGTTGGAAACAGCAAGTTGAGAAGGAATGTGCCTGTCAAACCTGTCATAGGATGGACGTATTTAAAAGGATGATAAAAGCAAGAAACAAAGTTTAGAGTTTTAACAGTAGCCGAATCACGAAATGTAATTAGGAGTATAAAACAAGTTCCTCATACTAAAGAACACAAGACAATGAGGTCTGGTGAGGATAAAATGATACCGTCAAACTCTGAAGGGGAAAAAGAAACAGAAATGTTAGGTAGATAATATCCCATCACGGAATATTGGGATCAAAATAAATTGTTTAATTTTAAGGTTAAAAATGGATATGAAATTTGATTAGTATAAATTGTTATTTAGAGTGAAGTTCAAATCACCTATTTAAGAAAATTCTATAAATATAAAAGAGATTGGGCATCGCAAAGAAGAATGCATCTGCTGACCGTGGTTAAATAAAGAGCAGTGAATTGGGCATAGAGACTTTCTTGATGCATGCCTTGTGCATGTAACAGTTTACATCCAAATATCTCTAGGATGAGGTTCCAAAAAAGTAAACCCAGCCCAAGGCAACTTGATTGAGCAAGTAGAACAAACATAAGAAACTCGCCAAACCTCATAATGAAGTTGACATGATCATTGTGAACTCACACATCTAGGGTATGGAAAACTCACTAAAGCTTAACTGGACCTACAGCCTAATCTCAGAATTTATTCATCCATCTGCTTTCAGATAAAACTTCTCACTTCTTCTGTCCAGTCGGCAATGTTAACTATCTTTGCGGCAACTTCATCTTTCAATTAAACCCAAACAATTATTCATGCGTTTTCATGTGTAATTTAGACTATATGCCTCTTATATTTTAGTTTTTTTGTATATTTTTTGATAGCCTAGAAATAGTTTTTTCCTATAGCACTCAAAACCAAGCCTAAAACTATAAAAAAGGAATCAAAGAAAGTTTTAAAACAATCCTAGTAAGGTTCTAGCATTGCACACAAATAAATCTGAATCCAACATCCTCTAAAAGTGTATTGAGCATGAACTAATACCAAGAGCACTTCTAAGGACAGTACAATCGAATAGAAAAGAATGAATCACGTAAATCAAGATTTTTTTACAAACAAACAATTCATAGAGATGGAGGAAAAAACTTAAAAGGATGATCTAGGATGCCTTTGAATGCATTTCCAAAGTCACTCCAAGAGTGGAGATGCCCTAGCGATCATTTGATTCTATCATTCGATTCAATCATTTGAAAAACCTCACCAACTACTAGCATGGGTGAACAATTGGCCTCAATGGAAATAAAAAATTGTCACCACGGCACCAGTCACTTGCATTTTGAAAAAACTCCTTCTCCAAAAGCCCTCACCTCTCACCACCCTCCCCCCTCAGCCTCGTGAAAGCTCTAGGAAACCCACGGTCTCGCCCACCCTGCAAAAGGTCTCGAGATCTCACCCTCTCTCACGAAAACCCTCGCTACATACTCCCTCACAAAAGCTCACGTGGTCTCGCCCTCCTTGGCGAAGCCCTCCTTTCGCCCTCATACTGCACCATTTTCTCCCTCACAATAACTTCATTTTTTTTTTCATGCCATGTCCAGTTGTAAGGAAGTTCGATGATTTTCCTTCTTATTTATTTTTTATTTGTTTTCATATCATTGCCCTAATCTATTTTGTTTTCTCTAAGAGAGAGGAGATATGCAAGAGAGGAATCTGTAATGTCAATTTTTTGGCCAGTTACGTTTCAAAAAGTGGCAATCTTGGTTTCTATTAAAAAGGAGTACAAGGTTATGGTGGGAATAAACATGGTCATGGGTGAATAAGTAGAAAGAAGAACTGGGTATGGATATTTTCTAGCTGTTTATCTCTTTTAATTCAGGCCCACATTGTGGCGCCAGTTATTCCAATTGCAATGCTTACATCATGATTACGGTTTAGTGTTAACCCATATCCATCTTCAGATTCTGCTTGTTTTTTCTCATTAAGTGAACCTCGCCTTATTTAGTTCTCTTCTATTACTATAATACAAGGTTGACAAGCTAATTAAGAACTCTGTCAGCCATTCAAATGGGATCCTTTTTTTTATCCTTCACACTTACAATAACGTTATTTTGGCAACTGCACTTTGTTAGCAAATAGGACTGTTGCTAAAGTCTATATGTGAGAAACAGTTAAGAAGCATATTCACTGATGAGCTTTCAGATCAATTAATTTTGAGAGAAGGAAACCTACTACAAAAATTTATCTTGTCACAGAAAAAATTGCATAAAATGGATTTCTGTTTAGAAGCGCTGCGGTTACAATGCCAAAGCACTATGTACAAAACTAAAATACAAAACAGGGGGGCACAAGAGTATTTTGGTCCCCATTTTTTAAGAAAAAAGGGAATGCACATAAGGGTGCAAATTATAGAGGAATTAAGTTGACGTGTCAGGAGAGGGTAATTGAACATAGGTTAAGATGTATTACAAATATTTCTCATAATCAATTTGGATTTAGCAGATTGGATTTATGTCGGGCAGGTCTACTATGGAAGCTATACATTTATTGAGAGGTTTGATGGACAAGTCCAGAAAGAATAAGGAGGACCTACATATGATTTTTACTTATTTAGAAAATGCTTATGATAAGGTTCCATGATATATCCTTTGGAGAGTTTTAGAGAAGAAAGGTGTTGATATAACTTACATTCAGTCATTAAAGATTTGTATACTATAGCTGCTATTTGTGTTCGAATAGGAGTGACCATATATTTTTCCCATTTCAGTTGGATTACATCAGGGATCAACTTTAAGCCCATATTTATTTGCTTTAGTTATGGATGCTCTTATTTGATATTTACAGGAGGATGAATCTTAGTGTATACTTTTCGCTGATGATATCCTTCTTGTGGACAAGATTATAGAAAGAGCTCGGGAAAAAATTGAATTATGAAAGTCTACATTAGAGTCCAAAGACCTTCGTTTGAGTAGCACTAAAACTGAATACATGGAATGTAATTTTAGTAATAGTAGCTCTAGTAACAGAGTTGTAACTATCAAATCATTAAAATGTGTGAATGCTTTAGATATCTCTGGTCTATTGTTCAGAGTGATAGTGATATAGATAGGGAAGTTATTAGTAGAATTCAAGTTGGTTGGTTGAAGTGGAAGAATGCTTATAGCCTATTTTGTGATAGAAAAGTACTGCTTAGACTGAAAAAAAAATTATAAGATGGTGGAGAGACCTTCCCAAGTCTTTCTTGGTCCACCTCTAACTTTATTAACATTAGTCGAATCTATACATCTACTCTCCTAATTGGATCATCAAATAATCGACGTTTAAAAGGATTAGAATTAAATGAAATATGACACTCAATATGATGCAATGGCGAAAAAGGATTCATGTAGCTGACCCCACTTAGTGGGATAAAGACTTGTTATTGTTATTGTTTTGGTGCGACCTGCAATGCTCTATGGCACAAAATGTTGGTCTTTAAAAGAGAAGCATAAAACTAAGTAAAGTGTTGCCGAGATGAGAATGCTTAGATGGTGAGGGGCTTTGCGCTTAGAGATAAAATGTGAAATGAATACAACCGTGATAGGGTTGGTGTAGCTCCAGTGGCAGACAAAATTAAAGAGAGTTATCTTAGATGTTTTGGTCACATTAAAGGTCGATCATCCGAAGATCAGGTTTGGAGAGTAGATGTTTTAGATTTGACTTATGTTAAGAAAGACAAAGGTAGACCTAGAAAACCTTGGGCATAATGTATAAAAATTTATCTTAATTTATTAGAATTAAATGAAAATATGACACTAAATAGGACGTAATGGAGAAAAAACATTCATGTAGCCAACCCCACTTAAGCGGGGTAAAGATTTGTTATTGTTGTTGTAAGGGGACAATGCTTCTTTGTAACTCCCAGCAAACTCATCGTCAAGCTTGATTGACACAATAAAACAACCATTTTGGCCGCCTTTAATTTGACAGTGATTTGTTATTTTTCTCTAAAAGTAATTTGTTTTAATGTGCATATTTTTTATTTTTTGTAGATATACTCTTATTCAGCTAGCTCTTTCATAATTTGGCGATTGACAATAATTTTGTTACAAATCATCTAAGGTAAGATAATGATCATTATATAATTATTTTAATTTATCTTAATTTGGGATAACAAATAGAAATCTTAGTTCTATTCAACATTATTTTTTTGTTTCAATAGCATTTTTAGTATTTTGTGGCCATCACTATTGGTTCTCTGCTATAATTCTCTATTTTTTCAGCCACATATAAGCATGCATACACTTTTGTATTCTCTTCTATTTTAAAAATGGTCAATAGCGTACATTTATTTTTAAAATTGGTTGAAATTGTGTCTGTCCTTAAAAAAGACTGATAATTTTCCTTATTTAAAAAAATAATCATTGGTGTGTCTTTATTTTTAAGAAAAGCCGATATTGTCCATTGATTCTTAAAAATAGCCAAAAATTTATTTCTGCAACATATATTTTATGTTATGAATATTTGATTAGTAATTTTTAAATATTTATATTAATATTAGGATTTTTTTTGTTAAGCTTTAATAAATAGATAGTCATTTAAAGAGAAAAAATGAATGGAAATTGATATTGACAATCTTCTAGCTAATTTTGATATTTGTCCTTCGATTTTGAGTTTTAATTATGATGATAGGGATATAATATGAAAAGCATATTTGTTGAAGGACCACAAAAAACATTTTTTTTTCACATGATGATGGGTAACATTGTACGGAGATTTTGTTCAAAATGATTTGAGGAAAATACCACTTGGCTAGAGTATAGAGTGCAGAAAATGTAGCATATTGTCTCTATTGTTATCTATTTAAGCCTTAAATATAAGTTGCTACAAGTTAATACAGCGCAAATTCATTTTTTGGTGAAGGATTTAAAAATTGAAAAAAAAAAGACAATTAGCTCATATTGGTGAACATAATAGTGTTTACAATAAAAAAAAGACAAAAATGTAAAGATCTAATGAAATCTCAAATACATTATGTTCTAGCCATATGAATGAGTAAAGACTAGACAAAAAAAAATATTG